CCAGTATCTGGCCACCGGCTTCCAGGGCAGCACATCTTCTGTGGGCGACGTCGCCACGGCGTTCTACAGTGGGCTTTTTGCGTATGACGGCTGGAATAATCTCAACTGCCTCACCGAGGAGATCGTGAAGCCGGCTCGAAACCTGCCGCTGGCCATCCTCATCGCAGTGCCGCTCGTCACCGTCTGCTACATCCTGACGAACGTGGCCTACCTGGCAGTGCTGTCGCCGCAGCAGTTGCTGGACTCGTCGGCCGTGGCTGTCTCCTTCTCCGAGCGTGTGCTGGGTCCAGCCGCCTTCCTGATTCCAGTGGGCGTGGCGCTGTCAGTGTGCGGCGCCCTCAATGGCACCATCCTCAGCACGGCCCGCCGCTGCTTCGCCTCCGCTCGCCAGGGCCACTTGGTCGACGTGCTGAGCTTCATCCACGTGCGTCGGCTGACACCGACCCCGGCGGCCATGTTCAACTGTGGCATCGCCGTCATTATGATCACCGTAGGCAACATCGGTAGTCTCATCGACCTCTTCAGCTTCTGTGCCTGGATCTTCTACGGCCTGGTGGTGCTGACGCTGATCATCCTGAGAAAGACCCGTCCGGCCGCAGAGCGGGCGTTCCGCGTGCCCATCTGGATCCCATGGCTGGTGCTGCTCATGTCCTGCTACCTGGTGGTGGGACCGATGGTGGACAAGCCGCAGTTCGGGTACTTCTACGTCATAGTCTTCCTGCTTTTCGGTGTGCTCGTATACATTCCATGTGTGTACTACAAGTGGACGCCTAATGGCATGAGGAGCGTGACTGCCTGCCTTCAGAAGACTTTGGAGTTGGCGCCTGCCTCATAGCAGGGATCCGGCGTGTGTCATATGGTCGGTGCCAGAGCAGTTCGGCATGCTTTCCGCGGTATGTATTACCGATTACAAAAAGATCCAAGGAGGGAAAGGCTCGCTCCTCTGGAAGGAAATATCGACAGGAGCGTTACATCTGAGCCCCCCTTCCCTCTTCGTTTGATGATATTCTCCACAGAAAAGCAGCGATGTTCCACACGTCAAAATGTATTTAGGGCATGTAGCTGTCTCTTTGAAATGGGAAAAGTCAGGTTTTGGCGATGGTTATAACGCAAGATTTTACTGTGACATGCTTTGTACATGACATCATAAAGCTACTTATACATCGGACGAACGTCATGCCCGGTGCCGGAAATAAATGTGTGTTTCCTGAGGCATGCTTGCGGACTGTAGGTAGGAACCAAGAAGGGTCCGGAGGACGTGCGTTTGACCATTCGGAGGGAATATCGACAGACAAGCTTAGGTTCGCTCCCTGTCCTCCCAGTGTCCATAGAACAGCAAGAGTATCCTATGTGTCAGCATGGTGTTCATCCATGGCAGCTGTCATTTGTAATTAGAGACGTTCCTTTTTACGACAGTCATGTAACAGCATTATATTGTGAACTCATTAAACTGCAGCATGCAGTCACGACTTCTTACTCTAAGCGTTGGGTTGACAATAGCCCTTAAAGGAAGTTTTCTTGTCACCACAGTCATTCTGAAAGTCATTCGGTGCAGGACACGGCCTGCCCTTCTTAAGATATAGACCTCTCTAGTTTCTGGGCTACGCGCCCGCGAAGATGTGCAGACTATTTCGGGGAGACTACTTCAAGGTCACCCAGGCGTACGTGACGGGATAATAACGTCATTCAAATCTTGGCATTGCATTGACCATGCGGCGATCAAAACCAAGGAAAATATCATTATCTAGTCATTTATATCTGGCGTTGGTGAGCACGATTTCCAGACATATCGACCATGACCCGGTTTGCAATCGACCCCACTGACAGCCGGTCCGGCTGACCTTCTTGCCCCGACAACCTGCAGTCACAGCCGGGCTGGGGAACTTACCTCAGGCTGAAGGTCAGTGAAAGAGCTACGTCAAGTCGGCTTATGCCATCTGGCGCAGAGTGAGCGAAAGGAGAAGCTACGTTGCGTTGAACGGCTAATTTTGTCCGTAGGCAAGGGCAAGTCAATAGAAACACAGCGAGTTCACATGCCCGTGTATTCAGCACAAACAGGGACATGCATACAGGATACGCAATACAGCACAGTACAGTGCGGAAGCCAGGACCACTTCATTGCCACAACCGGTTCTCCCTTGGCTGAGCCAGTGGATCAAGGCGACATTACTGCCGTAAAAGGGAGTCTCCTGGCTCTGTGGCCCTGGTTGCGACCAAGGAGCCAGCTCAGCGGCCCGACGTGACCTTGTCCTGTGATGGGTTATGATAGTCCGGGGCAGTCCTAACTAAAAAAAAAAAACTAATTCCTATGCCAACCGGGAAAACGCCACGTTTTGGCAGGATAGTGCGTGGAGAACCCTCGTCGAGGAGGAAAACCTGAACGTTTGCAATTGTACAGGGAAAACCTCGCAGCATTGAGATATAATTATCGTGGTTTGTGTTGCGTAGAAGTTCAAAGGGGGGGGGGGGGAGGGTCGAAACTATCCAGATATGAGTTGCCTAGGATGATCTTGAGTGTGAGTGGGAGCTTATGTGTATTGTGTAGTGTACGAGTTTGTCGTGCGCGTCGGTGTGTGGGATGTGCAGGTAGAAATGTTCGATGTACAAAGGAGTGTGGTAGGAGTGACATGGAGGAGGAGGCGACGTCCCTTTGAACATACATGCGTGTTGTTGTAGTCTATCCGGAGCCTTGTGAGTAAGAAGCCTACCTTCAGGCTGTGTTTTGTTGCGTGCTGCTCCAATGTTACACCCGTGGTTTGATGTGATACATGCGTGGTGCGCGTTGGTGGCGGGAGAGAGACAGG